AAGTTACAAGGAAGTGTCTCATTGAGCACGGCTGAAGCCGAATACGTGGCTCTGACGCGCTGTACCTAAGAAATACTCTGGACAAAGAATCTGCTCCATGAGATGAAGATCAACATCGACTATATCGGTTGTCATCAACGAAGACAATCAGAGCGCGATCGCCATTGAGAAGAAAAACGGGTATCAGAGTCGCGCAAAACATATCGACATCCGCTATCACTTCTTTCGCGAACAAGTGAAGACCAAGTCGATTGAGCTTAAGTGTACCAAGTTACAACTTGCCGACTTCCTAACAAAGCCAATATCGACGAAGTAGTTCGAACTCCTGTTAGACAAGTCCAACATCCGGAACTCTCCGTCGAGGGGGAGTGTTGAAGTCAGCAAGGTTCGTCACTATGACGTGATCAAGGATCAGAACCAGCATCAAGTTGAGGTTGAAGAAGGTTACGCTCAAGTTCAAGAGTAGGCTAGGAACCATTCATTTTAGAGCGCGTAGCAACCAGTCATTTCAGACAGCATAAGTAGGAGTCAATCACTTTCCATTTTCCACTCTCCGACAACAGTCTCCTTCTCATTCTCTCGACTCTCAAAAAGTTAAGAATAACACGACTCTCAAAAAGTTGAGAATAACAACCTTTTATAACGCATCGTGTGAGGCTAGCGGCCTACGTGTCCATCACGCCATCGAGACAACATCACAATTGAATTTCCCCAGTTATTTTACAAATTTCGAGAGTGGCTGACTCTTTTTCTAACATATTCCAGCTCACTATTTTCCAATAAGATCAAGTTCTCATCAGAACATCCTTTTTAAGAATTTAAAATACACTTAAATTATCTATTATCCCCAAAGAAACATCCCGGAAGGAAAACAAAATGTCTCAATGACAACAATCATTATCAGTAAATTTAAACGAACTACAAGAATTCTAAACGTGAATTAAACTTTGTCGTGTGGGACTGCATCCGACCACTGGAGAAATAATTTGCTAGCTTCTTTAGAAGTCACCTTTCCTTCTCTCTGATCATGAATAAGTTTCGCTTGATATACGTGAAGTTTTTCCAAAGGCGTCGTTATAAAAGGGTATGCTTGAAAAGGAGGAAAGATTTTCTCAGCAACCAGTTTTACCACATTCACAGCCTTCTTGCTCGCTTCGCTTCTCTCTTCATCAAACTTTCCTTTCTCAGCGTTGGTGGATGTTGAGGTGTGTGTTTGTAAAACCTCTGCATTATCCAAAGTCGCTCTCAGATTACGGTTGACCATTCCGAAAGCAATGTGACATTTAGCGAAAAGACACACCGACGCTGTAAGTAAAAGACGAATTCTCATGACCAGATTGGTATTGTAGTTGAGACAACGATGGATACAGGGATAATTTGGAAATGAAATAGTGGCTGGATAGCCAGAGTACCGGTCACGACATATGCTTAAAAACCCTACAAATTCTGTATTTGTTAGTAAGAGCCTAATCCTGCAAAGTCAATTTCCTTCAAATTAATCTATACCGTTGTAATTCCCTACAAATAATCTTTTGCAATTATCTGCTGTAATCTGGTCTCCAAATAATAAAAAGAACGAAGTTAAAGATATCTGGCTACGAACCCCACAGTGAGCCATAGACACCGTGTGATCAGACTCAGTCCTTGAAGCTGATTGGATCCTTAAACGAGAAAGTACAGATACGACATCATTACCACTAGGCTAAGCAGCCGCTTGATTTCTCACCATCTTTTTGCTATACAATGAAATATACTCCTAACATGCCACGGATATCTGAGGAATCTTCCTGCAGCAAATCTCCCGTATGCTTAAAGGCTTCTGAATGTGAACATAGCCGGCGCTTGCCGATCTCAACCATTCATGTTGAGGGGAAAAATTCCCTCTGCACAAAGTATGCAGCAGCCTGATTCATCAACTGATTTAATACGCATCCCAGGAACCAAGCCTTTATTA